CAGTTCAAAATCCAACCAGAAGACAGGCAGACACTACGGATCCTGTTTCGAGACGATCCATCCATGATCCTGGACATATATGTGATGGAAGTTGCAACGTTTGGCGCGACTTGTTGCCTTCTGTTGCGCAGTTCATCAAAAAAAGAAATGCAAAGGACTTTGAAGACCAGTATCAACAAGCAGCTGCCGCCATCGTCGACAACCACTAAGTGGACGATTATCTAGACAGTCTGGATACAATCTAGGAAGCAGTAGAGCTAGCGCTGCAAGTTAGGACTGTTCACGCCAAGGCAGGATTTCACATTCGCAACTGGATGTCCAGCTCTAAAGATGTTCTTGCACAGGTTGGGGACTCGGCAGGAGAACCAGTGAAATGCTTCAAAGCTCACAATTCTTTGACATCCGAACGCGTGCTGGGAATGAGCTGGTTACCAGATACGAACGAATTTGTCTTTATTGGAATGTTTCGAGAAGAATTAGTACCAATTCTACAAGGAGATACCGTTCCAACAAAAAGGCAGCTGCTCCAGGCGGTAATGAGTATCTTTGATCCGCTTGGTCTTGTGTCACTATTTGTGGTCCACGGCAAGATACTAATTCAAAATGTATGACGGTCTAACATCAGATGGGATGGTGAAATCAACAACGAACTGTTCAGTGAATGGCTGCGATGGATTCGATTCCTGGGACATCTCGATACCATCCGAATTCCAAGGTGCTATTTCCCATTCTATAACCCTGAAAGCTACGATTCGTTAGAACTCCACATTTTTGTTGATGCCAGTGAAGAACCGTATGTAGCGGCTGCATATTTTCGCATCGTGGATAGAAGTCAAGTTCGTTGCGTTCTGATTTTGTCAAAAACAAAAGTTGCCCCACTAAAGCCACTCTCTGTCCCTCGATTAAAGCTGAAGGCTGCTCTTCTCGGTGCCAGATTAGCAAAGTAAGTTGAGGAGAACCATTCATTGCGTATCAAGCGGCGGATCTTTTGGAGCGATTCAAGCACCGTTCTGGCTCGTTGCAGTCGGATCAACGTAAATACCGACAATTCATAGCATTTCGTGGGGCAGAAATACTCGATACTACGACAACGAGTGAATGGCGACATGTCCCATCACGGTGGAATGATGCTGATGACGCCACTAAATGGAAGGTTTTTTTTATTCTTTATTTAAGAGATTTTTAGCCGAAGGCACTAAATGGAAGGATGGATTACGGCCCAACAACGGTCACCGTTGGTTCCACGTACCTGATTTCTTGCAGAATCCTCCAGATATGTGGCCCCAACAGCAACCTCTTTCCACAGAGACGACCGAGGAGCTGCGACCAGTGCACATTCATCGAGAGAACGTGGTCGAACAGTTCGTGAACTTCAGGCGATTCTCAAAGTGGGAACTATGCCAGTAGATCGCAGCTTACGTCCATCGTTTTATCGATCAGATACAACGAAAACGACGCAGAGAAGCTTCCAATGTTTTGGAGTTGCTAACACGAGGAGAACTTCAGCGAGCGGAAGCGAATATATGCAGAATGGCGTAGAACGAAGAATTTGCGGATGAGGTCATCTTGATGTAGAGAAACCAACAACCCAGCGGAGGGCTGGAACAGCATCGGCTGGAAAAATCCAGCAAGCTCTTCAAGCTATCTGCTTTCCTGGATGAACGAGGCGTAGTGAGAATGGAGGGCAGGATCGCTGGATTTTTGGACGGTCCCTACGACTTCAACTGCTCCGTCGTGCTACCTAAGAACCACTACGTAACACAACTTATCATCGACTGGGATCATCGGCAGTACAAGCATTACAATGGAGAGACAGCCGTGAACGAAATGCTCCAGAAATTTCACTTGTCGGGATAAGAGCGGCATTCCGGAAGGCTGGAAAGTTTTGTACGTGGTGCAAGGTGTACAAGGCGGCATCACGAACTCCTAGAATGGCACCGTTACCAGAGACAAGGATCATCCCGTTCGTGAGGCCGTTCAGTTTCGTTGGAGTTGACTACTTCGGTCGCACTCTTCACCTGCTTGACCATCCGGGCAATCCATCTTGAGCTGGTATCCAATCTGTCGATGGAGTGCTGTAAATGGCAATACGACGATTTATAGCACGGAAGGGGGCGCCATCGGAAATTTACAGCGATAGAGGGATGAACTTCGTTGGAGTCAGCCGCTAGTTATGAGAGCAAATACGCGGAATCAGCATGAACTTGGCAGCGACGTTCACAAACAATGTTACCCAATGGCGCTTCAATCAACCATCTGCACCACACATGGGGGGGTCTTTGGAACGCATGGTTCGGTCGGTGAAGTGTGCGTTAGCATCGCTGTTTAACGAACGTAAGCCTGACGAAGAAACTTTGGTCACTTCACTTGTCGATGCCGAATCACTGGTGAATTCAAGGCCATTGACATATATGCCACTCGAAAAGGCAAGCACGAAGCCCTAACTCCAAACTGCTTTTTGATGTTGAGCACTAGTGGGGTCAATCAACTTCCAAGACAACGCTTCACTGGTGTCATCATCGGCGGTAATGCCAGTGAGCCCAAATACTCGAACTCGTAAACCACCTCAATTTTATCGTCTTAAACCGAACTCGAAGTGGCTAACATTATCTTCTCTTGAACCTCTTCCTCTAATGTGTTTTGTCTTCGATGAAATAATAACAAGTTCAGTCCGATTGACTTCAGCCTTCAGACTGATGTACGTTTCCGATGTCAAAATTAGATTAAAAATGCAAATGATCAATTCTGGGGAAGTTGATCATGCAATTTTTTATGCAATGCAATATTCAGAAGTTCGCATTTATTCTTCATTTCGCTCAAGAAGAATCTGGTGTTAAAATTACAACAAAAATTGTGGTTTACGAAAAACTTCATATTTTATTCCAAAAACTCCTAAGTTTAGGCAATTAACATTAGTTTTCACATAAAATCACTATACAAAATCGGTAATTTTAACAAAATCTGATCTCAGTAAAACAAATCATTTCACCTAACACAGCACCAGATTAATTAGGAATAGTTAAAAGTGGCATATTTAATAACTTCCTCAAAATAGTATATTTAGAGTAGTTAGTTAGGGGAAACGTTCAAATGTATTATTTCAAACTACTTAATGATATGCTAAATAATTTATCTCATAACAATATAATGAAAAAGGATTGTTGAGAAACGAAAATTGAACGGTGTAGTGATCAATTTCATCCCGTTTTATGGTACTCGAGAGTGTTCCTAGGACAACGCACATCTTTGAATTATTCGTCACCGTGACAAATCACGTCAGTTTATCCGAAATTCATGCATAATCTGATTTAACTTCCCGAATGTAGGAAATCAGGCACCCATGAATCCGACCTGTTAATTGCTCCATGAACAATTTTGCTATCGGTGATTTACTGTGGCATAATATTTGAGAGGGAACCATGTAGGCGATGCTCAACACTGCATCGGATGTGGTATCCGACCAATACGAGGATGTGTAAATTCTGAGGATCAAGTGCGGTTTTTTTCCTCTGTTCGGGACATAAAACCACTGCGACCAGTAATTTGATATGTTGTAGTATATCCCGTATCCTTAGTTTAGTGCATGTCGTATTACTCCATCACTATTGAGAAATGATCAAGTGTTCTCTTTTGATACAGTTATCATATTTGCATTCGTCACAAGGAATTGATTTAAATTGAAAGGTTCCACTATTAACACCTTTCGAAGAATGACAGCACCCTCCAAAGGCGCACTTCTTTGTCAGTCAAAATTGGATTACTTAGCAACAAAATTAAGCAATGAAACCGATAACCATGCACCAGAATCCTAGTCTTAACCACTTCAAACTAGGGAACAACGAATAGAATATTATGAATCACAAAGACAATAGTAGATTAGGAATCAAAAAGGCTAACTAACTATTTTTTTCCTTGTTTCAAGATCATCTTCGATCCAGGCAAGCCGAGGATTTATCACTATTATAAAGGCATTAACAGTAACGAGATCTAAGATGTTTCCTTTGATTACTTATAAATCCTGTTCCCTTTGTTTTTAGTAGTCAAGACTAGGAATCAGTGGTAAATCTTACATCCCGTAACGTACCACGAAAAAGTGATCTACCCACGTTACAGGGCATGAAGTGTTGTTTCTTCAACTATTGCATCATAAACGTGCACTGTCCAAACGAACTAAGACCCGACGACGAGATGGAAGCATTTTCACGCACCTTTAGCCGCGTGAATCAATCACGCGCTGGCGCATCTTACCCAGCAGTACAAATCCAGTTCCCAGCTGGTGGTGCCACAAGTCAGGTAGAAAATAACTACTAGATGCTCGCTTTGCCATACCAACTATCCCGTACAGTAAAGTTCATAAAGCGCTACGACTTCGATGCTCCGGAATTGAAGCTCATCGTAGTTTAACCTAATAGTGACTTGCAGTTGCAAGTTACGAGTTTTCAATCGTAGTCCGTTTTTGATCGAGGAAGTCTTTGTCGATCATTTAGTCCTGTAATTACATCTGCATTTCTAAAGAGGCTGGTTGCTCGTGTACAGCTCTGTTTAGACTCCAACGCTGGTAGAAGAACAATAATAAGCAACCCTCAACATGGAGAACAGACGCTGTTTTGAGCCGTCCAACCATGGAAAACGAAACCGGGCACGACAGTTTATTTAAAAACTTGGAACTACGAAGTTCTATGACCATTAATGGGCTATGACATATGAAAATTAATTTAAAGAGAAATATCAAAGTTATTTATTTTATTTTTATTATTTTTATGGTTGATGACGGCAGATCCGTTCCGATTCTAATTTCGTTAGAAGTACAAACATAACATGGAATACAAGTGCGTCATCATAAGCTAATTAAACTAATGGCCGATTTCTTCACTTCCACTTAAATCTTAATCAGGGTTTACTCATATAGGTTTCAGCCTTAACCGCAGGTGAAGAAAACGGCCCTAAGTTTACAAAAGAAATTTCGTCTATTTGAAAAGTTTGTAATGATTTGTACTTACCCCTCAAAGGATGGATAAATGTTGGAGGCACTAATTCAACAACTTCCTTATCAGGTATTTCAAACACTATAATTTTGCAGGAGTCCTTTGCCTCACCATTTGCCGTTTTTACGTGGCACTCATAAATACCAGAATCCTCCACAGTTGTTCGGTATATCTCCAACGTGATGAACCCAAAGTGAACATCGCTTACGCATCGCTTATTCATCTCAAATTTTTCACCATCTTTGAACCAATTTACTTCCACTTTCTGATTATCTGAACAACAGCAGTTCAAACTTAAAGTTTTGCCTTTAAGTAAGGTTTGATTCCTCAGGCGGCTAATAAATTCCACTTCAATTGGTTTTCTTTTTGGTTTAGGTGGTGCCGGAGCTTCTTGAGGTTGACCACTGACAATTCGTTGACTAATTCTCATTTTTGGTTGACCTTCGGCAATTGGGCGTACTTCAGGTTGTGTTGTAATTTTAGGTTGAACAGCAGGCTGCAGGGCTGTTTCTATAGCTGACTTGCTGATCTTCTTCCTCATCTTTTTAATTTTTGGTCCTCGTTTTATAACTTCTGGCTTTTCTGGCTCTACGTACTCATCTTCGTCTTTTTCTGTTTCTTCATTTCCAGGTTCTTCTTTCATTGTTTGTATCTCTTCTTGGTCCAGTACCGGTATTGAATCTACGTTTAATTCTTGTGCTGCTTCTTTTTCATCTTCCTCTTCTTCTTCTTCTTCTTCTTCAGTCGCTACACTGTGCTCACCGTCAGAAACATATTCTTCATATTCGCTTTCAGCACTGGTATCCGTTTCATATTCCCAAAATTGTTCCGGAGTGTGACCTCGAACATAATATGTACCATCCTCCAAAAATACGACTTCACGATACTGCCTAGGCTCTTTAATAACCTCGTCATCGGCATATTGCCTTCTAGGATCAGCGTGAAATATTCCATATGAAGGCTTCCCTGTCTTACCTTCGAATCGCAAATGGTATTTTTGCTCTACCGTCCCAAAGTCGTTAGTAACTTTGATCATATAATTTCCGTTATCTCTAGCTTGTGGATTATGGATACACAATTTATATACACCCATTGGCTCCCTGATCTGTATATATTTATCATTGTTTTCAATCGCAATACCGTCCAAGAACCATTGAATCATGAGAAGTCCATCACCTTTAATATGTGTCTCTAATATTAAATCATCGACACGAAAATCATAATGCTGGTCAATATTAGTTATAAACCTTGGACCCATTCCTAGACGTACCTCAAGTTTTTGAACAATTGTCAGTGTAGCATGAGTGGTGATAACATTTTCCTTATTCTTCACCACAGCGGTGTAAATTCCTGCATCTAATGGAGATACTTTAGCAAAGGTTACGATTCCAGTGCCATCATGTGATTGATTTTTGATAGTTTTAGTAAACTCCATAACTTCTCCATCTTTAAGCCATTTGATTTCCGGTTTTGGACCAAGAACAGTACAAAATAATTTAGCTGGTTTTCCATCTGAAACTGTAATGTCCCGCAATTCTGTAATAAACTTTAGAGCATTTTTGCTCTCTTCTGGTTTTGATGGTACCGGTATAAATTCTGGGAATAAACGAAGGTATCGTTCTTTTCTAAGAGTATCTTTATCCTTTGCTAAATTAGCTTGTACTGGATCGGTTTCTGTTTGTTGTGCATTTGCTTCCTCTATAGGGACTTGTTCTTCTTTAGATATTGGTTCTATTGGTTGTGCGTCATGAGGAACGGTTTTTACTTCTTCCTTACTTTGAATAGTCTCTGATACTGGTGATTGTTCAGGAATTAAATGCTGCTGTTCTAAAAGTGTAGGCTCAATCGACTGTTTTTGTTTGTATACATTCTTCTTTCTCATCTTTTTGATCTTTGGTCCACGTTTAATTACAGGGGCAGGTTCTGGTTGTTCTGATAATTCTTCTTCATCTTCATCGTCAGCATCAGCCTTATCGTCAGTCTCAGCTTCCTCTATATCTGTCTCTTTTTTACTAGATTCTTTTGTTTTGTCTTCATCCTTTTCATCTTTGACTTCTTTTTCGATTCCTTCTTCTTCTTCTTCTTCTTCATCTTCTTCTTCATTTTTTTCGTTTTCCTGTTTCTCATCTTCAGTTGTTGGCTCATACGGTTCATATTCACTTTCTGCACTTGTGTCAGTTTCAAATTCCCAGAGATGCTCAGGTGTTTGACCACGCATATAATATGTTCCATCTTCTAAAAATATAACTTCTCTATGCTCCCGTTCAACCACTTCTTGTGGCTCTTCGTATACGCCGTGTTTCATTACTCTGGGATCATGATGTGAAATGCCGTACACATGGGTATAATCGTCTTTATTAAATTTCCTGAGTTCATGCTTGATAGAATCCTTTCCAGCTAAATTCACGGCTTCACACATGTAGCGACCTTGATCCTTTATTTGAGGGTCATGTATTGTAAGTTTGTGAATGCCTTGTGGTTCTCTAAGTTGGAAAAATTTCTCGCCTTCCGTATCGTCTAGTTCAATTCCATCTCTGAACCACTTAATGGTAGGAGGTGGATTTCCGCGGACTTGGACTTCAAGTATCAAATCATTAATCTGGATGTCGTAATATTCTGTTGAAGACAATGTAGAGAAAAAAAACGTTCAAGTTAAAATATCATACGGTGATTGCTTAAAAGTCTAATGTGGAATGCCAAAGGATATTTATTTATTTTGACGTAGAACTACGTCTTTGTCGACTATACTGGGGTACAAATAAAAAATATGTGTGGTGAAATAGTGTTAGGTTTTGGACGCTTGTAGCTTTGTCATTTATAGATGAAATTAAGATCCAAATACGCCAATCGATAGGATATTACTTAAAAAATCTGCTGAAATAAATACTTTTCCAATTTTTAATCAAAAAACTTTTAAAAAATGCGCAAATGATAATTTTATCACTGTTTTCATGAACTAAACGTTTTCCACAAACGAAATACTACTTGGTTGCATATCATTCTGCTTGAACCTAAAAAGATATAAAACAGCGCTGATTTCCTGACTCTGCTCATTACCGCTTCTGACGGCGTGGCACTAGGTCCTGCAGCAAGCAGAACCAAGTCAACGGCTGAAGGTGGATCACAATGAGGAATGAGACCCTCCTTAACAACAACCTCTCCCCCCCCCAACAACAACCTGAGAAAGACATCGACTTTGACGATCACTTTTTTTCGGGGAATAAATTTTAAGCAACCACAATTTAATTTGTAAAAAATTGGTTTTACTTATAATAGAAGTAAAAGCAATTTTTTACACGCAGAGCCAAAATTTTCAAAAAAAAAAAATGCTTAAGAGGAGACATACTCGATGAATTACCAACAATTGACTGTAAAACATATCTGGTATCTCTATATATGCAATTAGATTAACATCCAAAGTCCATCCTTTTCTACATATTCTGCACAAAAGAAACTTCCTGCCCCGCCCATTCATAATAATAAGTATAATAGTCAAAAATGCATGACAAACATCAATTTTGCGTGGTTCGTTGTCATACTGCGGTCGTGCACAACCCTCTAATTTTTTTATTTTTTTATTTCGTCAACCAACGTAGACTAGTACATATTAGAATACAGTTTTGTTTTCTTAAATTTATTTATTTATTTCGTCAACTTTGGACAAAAGGTTAAAAGTATAATTTTTTCTTTAATAAAAATCAAGCAGTGTCAGCTTTCCTATTTTTTATGAGTTATAATGCCTTATGGAGTAAAAATATTGTTTTAGTTTATGCCGAGACATTGTAAAGTCAATGGTTTCGCAGTATTGATTGTAAGAGGCCATCATGCGGTTTACCCGAGCAAAGTCGGTTAACAAAATGAAAGCAAATCAATATTAAAGTTTGCAGTTCCTATCATCATGAAAACTCATTTTGATTTCAATTGTCGCGACAGAAGTCTGATATCATATTGTGCTTTCATTATGCAGTCAAGACTTTTTAAAGCAAAGCAACTTAACTTGAAGTTCTGCTGTTAATTTCTTGTTTAAAATTTGATTGAAGTTCATCTGTCGTTGAACTAACGATTATTGTTTATTTGTTTTGTTTAACACATTTTAGGTCATTCGTGACTAGCCCGAGGTGACATTTGAGCTCAAATCTTTCAGCGTGAGAAGCATGGATGCTAACGATTTACGAAAGGCTCGTATTCAGTTAAACATTGTGAATGCAAAATCAGTAATCAAATTGATTTCATTGAAAGCAGAATAAGTTTTCCGTTTGATTCAACAGTGTAAAATTGTGCTCTCATTTTTGCTGTGTTAACCGTTAAGTCAACCAAAATGAGATCAAATGGAGTATTCAAAATAAGTTACATCATAACAGTAAATTTTTATTTCAATTTGATCTCTAACTTTACTCGGGTAATGGCCCATATTTTGCATAATTTGTGCGATGGTGTTTTATGGCAAATAAATTTCGATTTCGGAGTTGCCGAGTAGGTGCATGGAAATTTAATTTTGATAAAAGTTCTGTGGAGTCAATGCGCTGCGAGCGTGCTTCATATGATGGAAGAGGAAGTGATGTCCAACCTAATTTACGAAGAGCGTATAATAGAAATTGTTTTTGTACGGATTCTAATCTTTCTTCGTGCGTGATTGAAAAAGGAGACCATACAATGCTGCAATATTCCAGTATTGACCTCACATAGGCAATATATAGTGTTTTAATTGTGTATGGGTCCTGAAAGTTATAGCAAAAGCGCTTGATAAAGCCTAGCATGTTATTTGCCCTGTGAATAATTGTTTTGTAATGGTCTATGAAAGTTAGTTTAGAGTCTAAGATAATTCCTAAATCCCTAACTCTTTCACATTTTGATTTCCTAGTGCAATTGAAATATTTGAAGTTGTTCTTTTCCTGATATTAAGAAACATTTTTTTGTACATTCAATTCTAGTAGACTTTTTTTTGCACCATATGTAGAATATGTGTATTTCATTCCGGAATATATTGATGTCTTCTTCATTTCTTATTTCCAAAAAGAGCTTCATGTCGTCGGCATAAATAAGCAATTTAAGTTTTTTGAGAGTGAAAGAAATGTCGTTTACGTATAGAATAAAAAGAAGAGGTCTCAAATGAGAGCCTTGGGAGACGCCTGAAGTGACTTGAATTGGACTCGATTTCTTTCCGTTGAATTTAATTATTTGTTGGCGGTTAGTTAAATATGATTCAGCCCATTTTAGGAGCCCTGACTCAATTCCAATTTTTTGCAATTTAAAAAGTAGCATTGGTATGTCTATGCGGTCAAATGCCTTGCTAAAGTCTGTATAGAGAGCTTCTACGTGGTTTCCATTATCCATTGTGTTACCGCGAGACAATTAATCTACAGATCAAAGCCATAAGCAAATCCACATAGTTGCACAAGGTCCGTTGATGTCGATACCAGTTTCAAGAAAATGAAATGAAAAGTAGAGTAAAACAAAAACGATCGCTCGTTTACATAATATGCCTGCACTATTTATCTAGGAATGCTCATGCTTTCGAGTGAAGAATAACACGCCCACGTGCGTATACCATAAGGCATAATTTTCCCTCTCGGTTTATCCTTAAGGAAGGATATGATTTACTGTTTAAGCGCTACAAATGTTTCAAATTCTTATTTGTTAACCTTTTCAGACCTGAGTAAAATAAACCAATAAATTTAGAAAAATGACGACCAAATCCCGGTTCTGAAAAGGACATAGTACATAAGGACTCAATATATAAGTTGGCCCTTTGAAGGACAAGTGGCATTTTTTCAACTTAAAGTTAGGAAACTAGTGAAAGGCCCGGTATTTAAAGGGACATGGAAAATTCCGTAAGAACAGGAAAGATTTTTACATAATTATAAATCACTTATGCAATACGTAGACCTAAGATCACTTTGTACAGAAATTGAAAATAAAGTTAAGTTCGAAGCTTACTCCAGGTTCTTCATTGAATCCGAAAAACTCTCGATCCTTAGAAGTGAAAACTTCTCTCCTAACGGAGAAAAAAGTAACTTCAAGAAGCAGTTTTTTGGCATAGGTGTCACAAAAGCGAAAGACTCTCTAATCAGAGAAGAAAGTAGCTTTTGGCAGTGACACATTGCATTCAATGAATAGTCTATAAATTCAAGTAAATTTGTCGAGGTCGAGCGACCCTTGAAAAAGCCGTGTTGCATGTCAGTAATTCTATTTTTGATTTGGAGAAATAATTTTTCGTTGACAATTGCCTCGAAAAGTTTATGAATGCAAGAGATAATGGCTATACCACGATAATTACGTACGTCAGATTTTCAGCCAGATTTAAAGATAGGCACTAGGAATGAGCTTTTCCAAGTTTTTGGGAAGGTTCCAGATTCCAGGGACATATTACATATCCAGAACAATGGAGCAGTGAGTTCCATTTAATAAATACTGGAGGAATTCCATCAGGTCCAGGACCTTTTAAGGCGCCTAATTTTTTTAAAGCCTGCAAAATATCCTGCACTTGAAGTTGATTGAGGCCAATGTCCCTTGAAAATTCTGGAAAAAATGCAAAATAATCGCAGTCGCGATCTTCTTCAGAAAATGTCGTATAGATTTCTTGAAAAAAAAAATGCAAATAGATTGCAGTTTTTTTTCCGAGCTATCACCGACATTTTCGTCGAGTTGCATTATTGAAGGAAAATTGTCAGATTTTAATTTGGTTTTTACGTAATTAAAGAAGTTCTTTGGACAGGACTTTATTACATGTTCTGTTTTTGCATTATACACAGTTCGAAAAAGTAGTGTAAATTTCTGTTCAATATTATGCACATAAATTGAGCGTCACATATCATATACGTTTACATTATATATCGTGTAAAGTTCTGACACATTTCATGCAATGTAGCAAATATTGTATACAAAAGCCCATATTTGTAAACAACATTGTTTGCAACTTGCTCGGTTGCGTGAAATGAAATACAAGTCTACGTGAATGAATGTTTACATCACAAATAAAATTCAGAATTTTTATCTGTGTGTTCTTCAAATGCAGTACTGATAGCTAAATTCAGTTGGTCGCATATATCTAAATAAATTAATAAATTATTTCTACTATTGCGTTTTTTATAAATTTTTGATATGATAGGGCCTATATAAAATGAGCATAAATATATTCAAAAGGGTGAAAAACATACGAATAATCTTTTTTTTTTCCTTGATTTGTTTTCCGTCGATCTTGTTTTCCGTACTGAGCACCAATGCTACCGACACCAGGGAGGCAGCTCCCACACCTGGACCCTACCTATCGACCCATCAATTCATGAAACGGGGATCAACGGTTTTGCTTCCCTTCCAAAGGAAGGCGTGATCAGAGATGTTATGCCTCAGAACATCCCGGCGACGCCGACTGGTATTGAATCCAGGCCTGCTGGGGTGAGAGGAAATCACGCTTATCACTACACCACCGGCGCCGCTTACTAATAATCTTGCATTAAATTATTTGCACATTAATTGTTTTTACGATATTAGGTAATTAAAAACTACGAATTTGATCTGTAAAATGAAAAGTATACTGTTTGGCAAAAGACAGTTTGATCAGGCATATTTTCAAAAAATACAAGAAAGGCAATAATCCTGAACAAAACTTTGGAATT